TCGCATATATCTCTGCTGACTAATTTCCTTATATCTGCATTGAATGAGCTGGTGATTTGTCTCTAATTTCGGATATACACAGATAAAAGAGGTATCAATAATTGTTTGTGGTGCAGCCCAAGGAGGAAAGTCTAAACGGCATGGAAGTATTTCATGAAGGAAATCCACGTTGAGGTTGGTGCGTCTGATTCTCTCAGATAATGGCGTGTGGTTGACGTTTTGGAATGAAGATGGTCGATTGTTATTAAATATTAAGTTGTAGGCAGAATTGTCCGGGAAACTTGAAATTTTGGCAGCATAGCATAGAGACAGAAATTGTCTACGTAAGGTCAGTGGTAACACTTTGGCTAGTACCTGTATGCTCTACAGGGCTGGTTTTAATAACTGCATTGTAGATTCTTAGTATCGAAATAGTATCGCTACCCCATTTTTTATTTGCTAAGATTTTTATTAGATTTAGTCCGTTTTGGCAAGAGGTGCATAAACAGGATTGATTATGTCCAGAAAAAGTTTTCAAATAAATAGTCTTTAAAGCTGGTTGATTTTATCCAGAGCGTGAGTGTGACTGCGGAGAACCACTTAGTAGATTCGTCTAAACTGTACGCCCAAATATCCTTTCATGTTCCTAGGTTTAGTTCTCGGCAGGATCAGCTTTTCTTTTGTATGGGGGCAAATACGAACTTGCCGTTAAAGTCACCAGTGCTCAAACTTTCTGAAATTTGTAATTTGTGTTTGTGAAATTGGTTATTTCTGATTCGTAATAAATTATTATTACACTATTACTTCCTAATGATAAGTTAACATTTATCCTCATGATAGGACTGGAGTATTTGCCGCCATTTCCATAACCGCGTTTGATAAAAAATCTCGAATACCGAAGATCATATGAAAGAAAGTAATAAAAACAATTTTGTAGGGAATTACATTTCTTTATTATTTTACTTTTTACTAGTCAACAGATTTGGAGAAATAAAGGTTGATTCTCACTATACATTCCGTAACCGTTCCGTAAATTATTGAAATTGAATATTCGCCTTCGCGTAAGGCAGGCTATTGCGTGTGTATGCACATTATCAGTTCCGTTCACATACCGGCCTGCGTCCCTTCCATACCCATTCCTTCTAAACGAATTTTTGGCGGACAAGCGGAAACGTGTCGGAAATGATATTTGAGGGAATTGAAGAGACGTTCCATAAATGCATTTTCTAAATTAATTTTTTTAAAATTCTGTTAATGTGTAATCGTCCATTAACAATAATATAACATATTCTCCATCAACTCCGCGTTGATTCAACATATTGTGAATCCCGAAACGCCTTTTTCGTTTTCTTTTTAAACGTTCTTCTTCGTCCAGAATAACAGCGGCAATAATTAAATTTTCTTCAGACCACATATTTCACAATGTTTTGAACTACGTAAAAGTTGCATATACAAAAATACTGAATATGGAAATGCAATGCAAGGTATACTGTGTATACAATCAAATTGTATGGAACGTTTACGAAACTGATATGGAATGGAAACGGGGTGTATAGTGAGAATCAACCTTTAAAGGGTAAACGTACGTGTAATGATATTTCCGCTTATAGGTTGATTCTCACTATACATTCTGTTTCCATTCCGTAACCGTTCCGTTAATTATTGGAATTAAATATTCACTTTCGCTTAAAGCAGGCTATTGCGTGTGTATGCACATTATCCGTAAGGTATACTGTGAATACAATCACATTGTACGGAACGTTTACGAAACTGATACGGAATGGAAACGGAATGTATAGTGAGAATCAACCTTATAACGGCTAATCTAAGAATCTAAGAGTAATAAAAAACAGCAATACTTTTTGTAAAGAATAAAATTAAGTACGGAAAAGGTTTTTTCGACACCTTGATGGTTATCTCATTAACTATTTTTTTATCAAAATTGCCTTATCCTGACCCCAATTTGGACTTTTTATTAGAAAGCAATAATCTAACAATACCACCAATTTAGTGTCGCGAAAATTGTAAGAAAAAATATTCAAACTGATGTGCAGCTCCACGACTAACAAAACCCGACTAGCATTTCATAAATGCTTAAGTGCTAATCTAAACTACCTGATCTATAAAATCCTCGATATATCCATAATTTTGATTGTATCAAGGTGCGCGTAGTCTATTTCAGTGGTATTTTTCAAAAATAGCTTTGAGAGAAAGGTCGTATTTTTACATATACAAAACAAGAAATGTTACTCGGTATTTTTAGCCACGTCAACACCAAAAATATACTACAAAGAAGACATATGCCTTTGTTAATTTTATACTTTGTTGTGTCAGTAACACTTACTAGATCTGGTACCATTTGAAGAATCTCACTAGTATCTAATAATGATATGTGGGTATATGAGACTACTTCTAAGTTTTTGTCATACGCTGGTCTATTATACATCCACCGAAAAAAGTTGGCAACCATGCATTATTTTTGAAAAAAAGCGTCTTACATGAGCTTCAGGAGAACAAGAAAGGTGACTTCTAATATGACTTATATTATAACTCCGGATGTCCTTTAGAGGTGAACCTCGGAAATTTGAATTGTAACGACCATCGTTGACAGCAGATTCGTAATTTGCTCAAAATTCAACATATAATACAAATCCGTATTAATACTTGAGGTCATACCGTCAAAAGTGATTAAATTGGTTGGTCAAACTGAAAAGTATACGAACATCACGGAAACTTGACAGTGCATTTGCTTTGAAAGAGCTCAAACAAAAGTTTCAGAAAATCCAAAAAGAAATTGATAGACAACCTCAGGTACCACCTAGATCTCATAGTTCATTTGGAAGCTAAGTCTGTAAAGTAAAATCGCAGCTATGCTTTATCTACTAATTTTACCACTTATGACCATCTGACCTCATGCGTGAAAGCTGATTCCTATGTAGAATCTCGTGCCGATTCCGATTGTGTCAAAAATATTGGTTGCTAATTGAATCTATGGAGTGGACTTTGAAGTCATTACTAAGCATTACCAGAGGTCACCAGTAAATTCCTTTTGATCATCCAAAGCTTTTGTGGAATACTTATTTTGAAAAAACACATGGTTGCTAAGTTTTTGGGGTGTTCGGGTATTTAATAAACAATGAGATACAATAATAACATACCAACAAACAGGCAAACGCTAATATGCAATGTTCTTTCGTAAGTCTAGCCCTTCTCAAAGGCTAGGCCTGAGTAACTTGAGCTTTGTAGTTTTTTAATGCATAATGTGTGCATGTGCTTGCTTGGCAAACATTGAAGTGGTGATATTTCTATTCTTTTACGTCCCACATCTACTGGCGAGGCGATATGTATATATATATATTATACATATATAACTCATATCCATCGGTCTGTATGGGTGCTGGTCTGTCTGTCTGTCCTTTACTCTTTGGGCCGTCTGTAATTTGAAGAATACCGCTCAGATTTGAATGAACTTTTATGCAAAATGTCATTGTTAGAGCGTGTTTGACTGACGCGATCCATTTAATATTTTGCTATACAATTTTTCTTTTCAGAAATCCATTTTTTGCCCTCGCTAAAATGTTTTTCTGGAAGCCAACAATAATTAATGTATGGAGCTACTCGTTTTCCTTTGTTCTTTATTCTGCCCGCCACGGCTTTGTCATGTATCTCGCTAGCAGGCCTACTTAGTGACAAACATTCAACCCAGATAGATTTTCTAAGAATACACTTATTTAAATTATTGAGCTTCCTATTATATTTAACAATATTATGATGTTGATATGTTGTTGTGACTGCTCAAAATTATGAGTTTATAAGGTTCTCGTATATTGGCGAAATTTCAACGACGTCAGTTTGTTTCTCAGAAAAATGTTGTTTTGGCGTATTCTGAGATAAACCACACATATTTTTGATCATCGTCAGCATTTTTTTATTTTCAGTTCCTGTTCGGGAACCGAAATATTTATATAAAAAACTATCGTGAAGTCTGGTGAAGATATTTTTAATGTTAAAACACCCGTATCTCGTTGATACCAGAATAATTTCGTCATAGCTATTATTGTTGAACAATAAAAATTACCTACTTGCAGGTTTTTGAGATAGCCTTTAACTCGGTGGTTAGCGCGAAGAGCGGGTTCGAATCGCAATGGATGTTGTGTTGTGCGTTGTCTGTATCGCCTACGAGTACGATATCATTGCTGGAGCTGGCTTATTATATCAGTTATCGGTAGATGACTCGTGGGGTAGTACATTATAAGTACCTCGGGGTCAAAGTTGGCTTATTCGCCAGGCTTCGCCTCCACACAACTGCGACTACCAGCCATTCGAGCACACTATAAGCAACAATAGCTTCGCCACTAGGGTCATCGTTTTGTTTTAAAAATGTCGGTACCTCGGATGGAACACCGCCAGAAATCGTCAATTTTTGAAATAATAAATAGATGTCCATTATTTGAATCATACTTTTTTTAGACTAATAAGTGCGTCTGTAAACTCGATTGATAAGAATCTTCTTTGAGGACCTAACAAGTATTAAATACGTTAAGATGCCAGTTCTAGAAGATAATTTTCATACATTTTAACATTAACCAGATCATCAGACGAAGCTGTTCGATCTTGAGTGATCCACCTTCAAATTGCTTATTTCTGTGCTAAAATGAGTGGTTTCATCTGTCTACTTAAAATAGTGCAAGCTGGGGAGTTTGAATATTACCATTCGTCATTCAAACGAAAATAGATTTTTACCTGATGCATTGAGATATGCGCTTCCACACAAGCATGTTTCCTTATATACAGGTTTTTTGAAATAATCTAATACAGGTGGATTATTAGCATCTCACGTAATATTGATAAGACTAAATTTTAGCACCTTAGCTAAAGCCTCTTTTTTCTCATATACATACATTAAGAGGCGTTGATACTACAAGGAAATATTCACCTTACCTTACCAGGAATACAAAAAATAACTTTCTGTCTTTGCTAACTTCTCTGTGGTCGTATTTCAGGGTAAGAAAACTACAGTGTAATTTATTACAATATATTTTATTTAAAGAAACCTTACAAAAACTATCGTGCATTCGTTCGCGTTAAATACATATTTGCACTTTCAACACGAAAAATTTCGCAAAAAAAATTATAAGACTGCTACGCATAGACGAAAAACTCTCTTGGTTCAATAAATACCGACTTTTTCCAAGTATTCGAAACCACTTGTGTGGCCGTAGTTGTACACTGCGAGAGACACAACATACCTTTAATCTCTCAGGTCTAAAATCTTGCCGTAATGAAAGTTTTCCATATCTGTGTAGCTGAAGTCTCTCATAACAGTGTATACTTATTTCTTCTGATAAACATTCTTTATATATCTTATATATAATATATTTATGTACATATTTTAAGAAGGAGTAGGTTTCTTGAAGATGCAATTCATTCAAAATCTATTCAGGCTTTGTTGTCAGGGCAGTTCAAAATTGAGAAAAATTGATCACATACGCATTAACTATATTTATTATATGTATTGCTAAACTCAAGCATTTGTCGCGCTAACAAGATATTTTTACTTTCCGACCTTGTTATGAGAACGGTTTAAAAGTCGAAGTTACTAAGGAATCAGAGAATGAGGTTTGTTTTCAAATTAGGTTCAATGTTTCAAGTTTATTTATATCCGAAATTGCGGCGCTTTAGTGGAATGTCTTAAATGTCTATAACTGTTCCACACGTTTTTACGATCTAGTATCTCCAAGCTTTAGCATTGCGTTCAGATATTCTCATTGTGATAATGTGAAGCTCATATTGATTCTATAAAATAGTTGTATCCGAGTACGATGTCACAATAATAGTTTAAATGCACTCATGATACATTAATTGGTAATAAGAAATAGACTGCGATTTCTATTCCTCTCCTTAAGGTAAAGTGATCAAATGTTTCATTGCCTCTGCCCTGTCAGCTTTTCCTGAATCAGTATGACCTCACCCCACCTATTGAGGTTAGGGCTCATTAACCTCATGAAGTGGTTTGAAGAGATCATAGAGTAGATCCTTATCGTTAAATTCACAATAAATAATTTTCATAACAAATTCCTCTCTTACTATTGGAATTTTGCAAACTGTCGGGATACAAATCTGTTAATGGATGCGAGTTAAATTTCTATATTGCTGTAACTCCTATTTTTCTTTGTGGTTTTTATGTTCATAGCAATCCATATATATTTCAATTTCTGTTTATTGTACGACGGTTCGGCTACCACCAATTGCCGTTGTACTTAAAAAAGGCCACCAAGCTGCCCGAAACATAAATCAAAACACACAATGGAGTTCTCTTTCCGTATTGTCGCGTTCAAGAATTGAAATTATCTTTCTTACTCCAACAAAGATAGCAAAAATGTATTATTTTTTAGATTGCACCATGGTCATATATGGTGAGCCATTTGGTATTTGAAATTTGAATTAGTTACGAAAATTTGGTATATAAGACAGACCATCAATTGAATTTGTGGACCAGTTTGTGAGGCCGGATCATTATTGCCGCTTTCGTACACTGCGTGCAGTCTAAAACATTGCTATTACTCGAAACGTGCAAGAACATCGATCAACATCAACACGGCATCTGTCTCACGAACTGAATACCTCTGGCACTTCTCTTGGAAGAATTTTGCATAAAAGACTCGGTATAAGGGCTTACAAAGCTCAGCTTCTCCTCGAAGGTTATGTCCAAAAACAAACCGATGCATTTGGGGATCAGAAAACCCAATCAACCAATCCACAACGAAAGACTGGTGCAATTTTTCGTCCATCGGCATTCTTGGACCATTTGTGCAATTGACGATACAAAAGCAGCAGAGGTTATACTCGTAATGTAGAATTTTCTTATACTGAAGCAGGCACGTAGGTAGTAGTCTAAGTTCATTTGATGTTTGAACTGCTCAAGGTTAATAGATTTGGGACCAGCCTCCAGAGGCAGATTCTTTAATCGACACCTCTGGGGCCTAATAACGGTCGTACCAGTTCTGGTTGTACAAAGTTCGACACGGTTGGGGTGGGAGGTCGAAGCCAGGCAAGTTTGCTTGGCAGACCCATCGCGGGGTGGCAAAGCTCGATGACACAGCGGCATAACAGAGCCAGATCATCGACGGTACGTCTGTGCGAAAGGGTCCCAAGACTGTCCGTTAGAGAGGGGTAATCGATCAGTCGGACATACCTCCTCTAAACAGAAGCACTCGAGGTATTATTTAATAAATTATCACAAGACATATTTGCAAGAGGCTATTTTTTTAGTAAGTACTGTTTTGAAATGGAGTCAGAGAAGCTTCATTTATAAACTAAAATATACAGGGTGACTTCGAAGTTGAGTCATTTATTTTAACAGTGAGTAGATCTGATCAAAAGAAATGTTTTTTTCCTTTACCATTTTTCTGGTAAAATTAAAGTAACAAAGTTATAGCCCTTTGGAAGTTTGAGTACCGCCCTGTCTCAATAACAATATTATGTGCTCGTGTTTGGCAACAACGGATATAATCCGCCTTATCGGTTCATCGCATCGGAAACAAAAAAGCGAAAGAATTTGGAACGATGTTTTTACAATTATTTTATTCAGTTGTATACGTATACAGTCAGTGTCAGTCGGTAACGCGGAGTGAATAGTGGTGTCTGTTGCGTGGCTCAAACGAGAAATAAAAAATGGCACATGTTTATGCGGATCGGTTTCCCAATCGAGTGTAACCAACCCCTCGTGCCTTTGTTAATGTAGTACAACGGGCTCGTGAATCAGGTGACTTAAGACCCCACAGGGGACGGCATGCTGGTGTTCCAAGACCTCACGATCAAATACAGGTCCGCACTGAAATACTTGTCGGGAGGATACTTTATAAAACAAGGTAAAATTTTTTTTTAATTTTTTTTTTATTTTTACACACATATTTTGGTTTATCTTCCTTCTACAATCATTATTTGAAAATTAATGACTCAACTTCAAAGTCACCCTGTATATATTTTTTTCAATCTTCAACATAGTCACTTTAAACATTTAAAGATTCGTCAAATCGTGGCACCAGATTTTGGATCTCGTCGTCAAAGAATGCTGCCGCCTGACAGTTTCTATCAACATGTCATCATTTTCCAAGGCTTTGACCGAGAAATTCCTCAAGTTTTGTAAAAAACAGAAAGTCTGATGGTGCTAAATCGGGGCCGTATGGTGAATGATCCGTTAATTCCCAGCAAGACTTCGTCTTTGTTCTTGTCGTGAGGCCGAGCATTGCCGTGAAGATGAATGAGGCCGGCGAAGAGCAGGTCCTGTCAGCGGCTTTGAATAGCGCTCTTAAGCATCATTAATGTATCACAGCATTTCTCAGCTTTTATAGCAGGACGAACTTTTTTGCGAGTTACTAATCGCACTTCATAGTCAGGGCTCATTGAGTGACATGGTGACAAACAAAGCAGTATAACCACGCAACCAACACCGACTGAGGCGTAAAACGTTATGGCAGCGTACCGAAAATCTGGCCAAGAGTGTCTGAGACTGAACGGACGTCACGTGATAGGATGAGCGATCACGATACTCAATCGGTTCTTACTTTAAAAATAGCCGTCGTAAAATAACGTCTTATAGTAGAATTTGTTTTTGGTGGGAAGAATCTATACAGTGTGTCATTTTGAGTTCTGTATGATACCTAAGCTGTAGGGAATTCGTGGCAACATACTACTCGAATTCGATCCATTTCAAACAACTATATATCGCTTACAGTTCTGCAAAACACCAAAAAAGAGTCGAATTCGGTTACACTAGCAAAGTTACTAATATTAAATTAAATCGTACATGCCAAGGAGCAATGCTAAATGTGAGCAATTTATGCATCCCTCCGAGTCGCGTATGTGCTGAAATGCCTCATGAAACTTCTTAAAGTGAGAGTATAAGTATTCAAGGCATGATAAATCACCCGAGAATTTTATTTTCAAGAAACCTGAATGGGACCGTCAAATTGCTTTGAACGTATACACACATGCAGAACGTGTAATGGAGGTACAAGGAAAGGAAATGCATCTGATAAGAACGTATTCTCACTTTCAAAAATAGACCTTTACGGCCGGACCATGGATTTCATCTAAAAAGATCCTGTAAGTGATATGTACTATAGCGAATTCAAATCTTATTTACTTCCCATAAGTTCAAAAATACTGATTTTTCGAAATCCTGATGTGGTTTATGTATCTAATTTTTTGATGAAATTCATGTTTCAGTCCTGGAGATCCCTCTTTGTCAGATCTTTCAGAATTATTTTCTATACTATGCGTTTTCATTTCCACGTACCAATATAATAATCTTTTTTTCGAAAATTTATTTTAATCTACCAGATCTGTAACTTCCTCTTTGTCGTTGTGGTCCGAAAAGTATCCTCTTGAAGGCCTGCCTGAATTCGGGACTAAAGACAGTGTAGATTACTGGATTTAGCGTAGAGTTAAAGTAGCCTAGCCACAATGCGAAGCTCATTACATATCTGCAATTATTACGAAATTTATATAATTTATAATACCTAATGCTTTATTTGGGCGTCCAAAAAATTATCTAAGATAGAATGAGAAACCGTAGCGTAATCTATGAAATTTTTTTTTACTCCGCAATGCTTAGGAATCTACTTCTACATCTACAAGACACTAAGCTTTTCAAAGTAGGTTTCTAATTATTGCAGAGAGGAGGAACATAGTTGTGACAAATTCTCATAGATGATTTTTCGGACGTGCAAATATAGAATTTTCAGGTAGGATACCTTAATGGTATTATGGGAAGAAGTTTAAAAAAAATCGTGCGTATGTGAGTAAGTCTGGTACACAGATAACGAATTTGATGTCAGTTTCATTTTGAGCTCAACAAGGGGGCCCTTGTACCAAATTTTTCTACTAAAAATTATCCTTCGCGACATTTTTTATCTGGATCGAATTTGTATTCTGCATCCCAATTACGCAAGTGTGCCGAGTTTCACTCACTTATAGTTCCGATAGAAAGTTCAAGCCGGAAAATATCAAAGGTTCTTGAGTATACGGGTGCATATACCGTATTCGGGATTTCAATGTTACGCAAAAAAAAATATTACGCAAAACGACAAACAGTGGAAATAAAATGTGATTTTCATAAGTAATATCATAAGGGCATCTGATTTTTCCGAAAAAATCGAAAAAACACGTTGCTAAGCATTATTTTAACCAGAAGTATGAGTGCTGGTGGCAACAAAATTCCGAGTCGAAGGATTTTTGCATCTGCACGAATGTTTATTGAAAAAAAATTACTTTGCATTGTTTTTTAGATTTTTTTCACAGGAAAAAAATAGATGCCCAAATGGTATTTGACAAGCGTAGTTCATGAGTGACAGGGTATCTGGTGTCCTAGGAGACCATAATTACTTGTTATCAAATGTATTGTAATTTTTCTTGACAACAGCTGTCAAGTTTTTACCGCGGGTAAACTCGGGAAAACGTATCAACAAGTCTCTGTAAATGTAACTGGTATAAGAATACATGAGTCACCTTTGTATTGCTACACATTATAACATATTTCCAAGAGCTAACATTTTGTATAATCATTTCAAATTACATATGATCGTCTAGTGTGACAATTGTGTGATTTGACATTGACCAATGTGTAGAAAATCAAGGAAAAACTAGTGCAGTTTGGCCTCCTGAAAAACCAGAAATGTGGTAGTTGCTCGCATAGTGTCAGTAGTGGTTGCAATATTTCTTCTGATGAATTTTTTTTTTGTTAGTTTCAATTGCAAATTAACGAAATTGTGCAAAAACAACAATTCTTGAATACAAAAGTCATGAATCACATACATTAATAATGGATATTATTTTTTTTTTGGCGGGCATGTACGTTTTCGTCACTTCCCGAGTAGTTTTATGTCAATTGCTTTTTACTCTCCTTCATTTCCTTCCGTCTCCTTTTTGTCATTTCTTTACCATAAAAACAGCTATGAACATGGAAGCAGCGGCTACGACTTGGTGTAAAAAAGTCTTCTAGCTTTCAAACACAACCGTTACTCTGAGGGACTAATGAAGAACTATTGAATTAATTTAGCTAATGGTGTCACGTCACGTTTAAATTATCTTTTCCATAGTTTAAATGTCACACCCTGGCCACAGATTTTATCTTGGTATATATCAAATCTATCAAAATTAAAATATTATCTGACTGTTAAATATATCTCAAATATCTTGTGACATAAAATACGAAAACAAAATAAGCTACTTTTCTTAGTTGACACTGAAAACCCAAATATCGTGTATTCACCCATATGAAACCTTATCTCAAGTATGACGATTCTTTCGTTCTTGAAGTATCAGAAAGGTTCCAAGGCCTCATTTTTTTACTCCAAATTGAGCTTTGCAAGACCGTATGGTTTTACTGAAATATATTCAAAACGGCACGGGTATTACGTATATTGAAAAGTGACATTATGCCGATTTTTTTTTGACATTGCATTGGTTGTTTGTGACATTATGTAGGTTTTTCTACAAGATGTAAACTTAGCACTTAGTTGTACGTGTTGACTAAACGTCATGAGGCTTCAGTTATCAATGTTTAGCTCTGATGTGATGTAAGGCATGGCATTTCCAGAGGTCTAAACTGTAAGTTGTAAGTGTTGATGAAAATTCCATTGGATTCTTGTCTCAAATACACTTGCTTGAGATTCAAACCTAGAAATTAGTTGCGCATCCACTTTTTCTTATCCATTCTGGAAATGACATATGCAAATTTTCTGAATTTCAAAAGAGAGAGAGAGAGAGAGATAAGGAATAATTGTATTTACTGTACACTGTTGAATTACAAGCCATATATACATGCTAACAGTAATAACACACAATGCGGGCGCGGTAATGATTTCCCGTAATTATTTGAAAACACAAAAAACGTAAAAAATCGTAATTGACAACTTTGAACATAACCTGTCTTCTGAAATAACCCGTCTGGCACAGCTAATAGAAGTAATAGATGTACTTCATTGGCAGCATGTTCAGTAATGATTTTCTCACGCAACAAATATCACTGATTTTATACACACTTAGACCAATACACACAATCATCCAGATGCGATCTTGCTATTCAACCAACTTTCTTCTCAGAGACTCAGAGATGAAAACTATAGACACACAAAACATATGCAACCAACAATGCGTGTCTACGTGTAATAGAGCCATTCCTCCATAGATGGATGCTCACAACAATCCTAGTCAGCAAACGTGGATTGACTGTTTGCTTCCTAAAAACTACATAGTCTGCAAGATGACATCGTATAGTTTTTTTACGTTTTATAGGTTTCTTTACATAATACCCGTACCGGCGCCTAGCAGCACTTATGTAAGTAAACCGAAATTCCGTCAAATCTAGACAGGGTTACTAATATATTACATGACGATAGATTTCAAGAAATGCTACGAAGATTTAAAGAACTCCCTCTTTCTTTCAAATTGCAATTAGTATATCTCGTGATTCAATCTATCAACCGAGGATATCCCCGCCCTTTTACGTCTCTTCTCAAGGATTCATTACATCCTTGCTTCACATCATTATTCTTAATTACAACTAGTAAATATTCTGTTTCGCCGAAAATCCCATTTATTCAGTATCGTGTCACACATAACGCAAAGGACATTCACACCGCACTAAAATGTTTACAGATAAAGTTTAGTCCCTATCGTCAGCAAGTGGCGCTTCTCATGTCAGGAAATTCTGTGTCAAGAGCAAATAGACCAGTCGTCATGTTCAGTGTTCTTTTTAAAAGTTAGAGTGTGGGATTTTCTTTAATTGTGTCCAAGTTGGTGAAAATTTGATCGCCAGCCATATTTGACCTCGGCGCCTAGCGCCCCTTATCTAGGTGTACCGAGAATCCTTCAAAATGATTATTTTGCATGACTATATTGTATTTCAAAGAATTTAAGGCTATGCAGATTTTCATAAAAAAATCAAATTGTAATTAGTATATCACGTATATTCAAAATGCACAACTATGTAATTCTAATAGAAAAGAATGTAAAATTACAGAAAGTTGATCCAAAAAATGTGTAAGAGAATAGTTAGGTATACAAAATTGTCATTGCAGCATCAATGCTAACTATATCTTCAACAACCAAACAAACAAATAATGGTTCGCTAAGATGATTTTCATTCTCATCCCGTACGATGGACCCGTAAGATGTCGCACTGCACCATCGACTATCAAGTGGTCGGTAGGGATATTTTGTAAAATAAAACTAAAAATAGTAAAAAAAATCGACATAATGTCAACTTGCTGCCTAGTGAGTTCACCATCATGTTTTGCTGATTGTGGAATGTCGAGATAGTCTGTATGGTCATATAATCAATGATATTTTTTGCTGTGTGAGAAAATTATTACAGAATATACTGCTCGTGACATACATCTATTAGCTGTGCCAGATGACTTATTTATGTTGTCCTTTCTGAAGAGAGGTTATGTTCAACGTTACTTCATCACTAAAAAACTTTTAGAAACATTACGGGAAATCAGTACCGCACCCGCGTTGTGTGTAATTAAGCCTCATCGCAGAAATGTTAGAAGTGACGCATCGCATACAAAACATTTCCGCACTGCCTCACATCTAGGCGCTGATTTGCATTTTCTACTTGACATCGTAAAATAAATTTCTATAAAATTTAAATGACTAGAAATAAAAATTAATGTGACATGTAATAACTATTCTACGTTTCATAAAGATTCCTGTATATACCATTTTTTCTCACCTATTATAGTTTTATTATATTTCACCAACCAGGGATTTTCTTTTCTTATCGCTTTCTTTTTTCAAATTCAGCCAATTTGCGTATCTGTTTTACATGTTGAATAAGTAAAATCGGATGCGCAACCAATTTTTAGTTTTGCATATATCTCAAGTTAAGTGTATTTGAGACAAGAAATCAATGGAATTATCATCAACACAGATTATTAACACATAAATCCTCACTATGCACCTAGGCAGTGTCGTTTCTTTTCAATATACAGCTTAGACCTACAATAATCCAATCATGTCGTTTAGGCAACACGTGCAGCTACGGAACGAGTGTGATGACTCGTATAGCTACCCGTGCTTATTTACTTTTTTGTAACTCATGTCCTAGTTGAGTTTTTACTTACCCACTAATATTGCAAGCATCTCCACACAGAGGCAACAAAAGCGCTAAAATAAAAAATGGCAGCCAACACATGACAAAAGCTCCAGTTATGATCGCTAGAGTCTTGGCAGCCTTGCGTTCCCTCTTGGCTTCTATCGATTCCTTCTTCTCCTTCCTCGCAATATGTGTTGGAGTTTCCTTATTTGCAGTCTAAAAAAATGTGGACTTATTCATACGCAAAAATTCAAGTGCCCGACACCAGATTTATATACAGGGTGCACTGAGAGTTGAGACGTTCCTTACTAGAGACAAAGTACCTTTGAAATAAAAAGTCAATGTGCAGTAAAAAAAGCAGCGGAAATGTGAAAGAACATTTAGTTTCATTGTGTCTTCCACTGTGCCCATCGCGACCATATTGCAAACGGTCGGTAGTTTTTTGCACGAGATAAATAAACCTATGCGGAGCAGGATGGAGATTCTTGTAAAACTTTAGCAGCATTTCACCTTAAAGATGTTAATTATCACATCATATTGACAGAAGTGTGTCCTATTAGCTTATTCAAACCCGATCTGCAAACAAGTGACGTGATGAATACAAACAGTGAGCTCAGTCTTAATAAATCTAATTTAAAAAGACACATTTGATTGTTAAAACTTATTTTTTGTGTTCTTGAGAAACGGTTCACCACTTCTTCTAGATTGGCAAGTATAATTTTGTGGACGTAAATAAGTGCCAGTCCAGTTTCGCGATCTTCTGTCACAAACACTTCTAATCATGTCTTGAGCCTCCTGAGAGTTAAGGATATCTCTCCTGTCATTACACTAACTGGAGGGGTAACACAAATGCATAAAAATCTTTTGATGTTGAGATACTAATTATGATGCATAAGAGGATACATGTGAAAGAAGGAAATCCTGGGGATAGCATCAAAGCACGAAGTAATAAATGGAGATTTTCCATATTTTTCTGTGATTCCCGATTCATTCTGTATCAAGTAACAATTAAAATTGTATTATTTAACAACTAATTTTAATTAGTTTTGTAATTTTGAATATATTAAAAAAACATTATGGTATTTCCGGTAATTTAACTTCCACTTTATTTTCACAGTTTTCTCATACCAGAAAATAGTGCTAATATGACGGTTATCTAAAGTGTTTCGTGTCGATATGTGTTACAAGAATGATGCGATTGTTTTTATAAATTCTATAGGAAAGTCTCACCAACAAAAACATCCTGTATATACTGGAAAGTGTGGAAGATTTTGAAAATCAAATTGCTCGATGTAGCCCATTGAGAAACCGCCACGACGTTGTTTGGAAGGATTAGACCGGTAAGGGTTTTGAACAGTTTCCGCAAGTTTAGATTTTTTACGTACCGAATTCCTGCTTACAGAACCATTACTTTGTGTGGGCAGAAGCCTTTTAGGAGAAGCATTACAAGACTGTGTGGTGCTATCTACATCAGGTTCTCTCTTATTGGTTGTAAATGTCGTAGTTTCTTCTTCACTAGCTACATCGCTTCCATGTGTACCATCTGCATCATCAGTTCCTAGAATCAGAATTTAAGTTCACTCAAAACATATGTCTAAATGGAAAATAATAAAGTATAGTTTTACAAGATCTGTGGTAGCGGAGATGTCATTAGCTTTGGTCCAACCTTCAGTTCTGGTATCATGCCAGAAGCGTTCGATTACACAGCTCAACAGCCATTTTGGTGCCGGTGAATAAGATCTGAACTTGAATAATTTTGAAGCGCTGGTTTCAAAGGTATTTGAAGAAGTGCAAAATATGCCATTTTCGATCCCAAAGAACAATATGAAATAACAAAAGTCTCAATGTTACCAAAGTTCCTAAACACCTGTTAAATCCCAAATCATTTTAGGGGGTATTGTTATATTAAACCTTTGTTTTTTTAGTTGCTTATAATTGACTTATGTCAATGATATTTATTAAATGGTGAATGATTTAATATCTTCAGGATGTAAGCTCATTTACCATTTAAGAAACACCACTGACATCATAAGTCCATTATAGGTAATTAAAAAATAAACGTTTACAATACCAATACTCCCAAAAATGCTTTGAGATTTTGCTAATAGGTTTTTGAAGGATATTTACGAAAATTAAAATTTTCGTTTTCTTATATTGTTTTTGGGGGTCGAAACAGGCATACTTGGCACTTTCTTAAATATTGAACACCCGAAAACTAGAGCTGCTAAGGAAAAATGACACTTTCAACGCATCAGAAATATTTCAAATTAGTTGTCGCTTCTTCGGCACCATTTTTTTTTTCGGTTTATTTGAAACTCTTTTATAGGCATGCGCCAAATCCATTGTAACAAAATCGTTCCAGAACAATTTCAAAACTGGTTGTAACGAAATACAGAACCGTACTGTTACGGTAACGAGCAGAGTTGAAATGCTTTTCCTAAATACCCGAGCGTGTGATCATTCCAGAATGGTTCTTCGACGTCGTTTTTGAAAGACTTATAAGTCACAAGGTACGAGCCCCTTCCCACTTCAGTTGGCCCACTTCAAGATTTGTACCAAAATATGCCTTTATAAACTAAACATTAGGAAACTACTTACTTGTAAAACAATTTATTTTCTCAAAAACATTTTAGATACACTCTAGTCGTAAAAAATACATATTTGAAATCACTTAGACCCATAACTAATAGAACATCTGAACAAATAAACAATGTGCGAATGAATGCGCGAAGTTAACAAAGCAACAATTGAAAGATTACCATTGGGTAACATCACCTTTATTTTTTATTACGGCTGAAATTCTTTGGGATGTTAACCAAGTTTTGGCAAAAATTTGGTGTAAAACAATCCCATATTTCTTGAAGCTTTTGTCTCAGTTCGGTGATTGTACGAGCAGGATGTTGTCGTAGAACCTTTTTCATCTCGTGCCACAAAGTTTCAATAGGTGACAGATCTGGACTGCTAGAAACCCATTTCAAAAGTGGTACATTATTTTCTTCCATCCATTTTATAGCCTTTTTTGAGCTATGGCACGCTGCGCCATCTTGCTGAAACACAAAATCTTGGCCGGATGTCAAACATTCTTCCATCACGTAAAAGCGATTCTTCTAAAATTGACAAATATTTGTTTGTATTCACATTTCCATCAATAAAATGAAGTTTTTCTACTCCTTTTGATGACATACTGCCCCAGACCATAATGGGTGCTGGAAATTTCACTTTTCTCTTCAGACAGACATCATGGAATGCTTCATTTTTTTGCGAATAACTCTACTGCGACTGTCACCAATACAAACTTCGAATTGGGCCTCATCACTCCATTGTATTGCACACCATTGTTGAGGTGTCCATTGTCTATGTTCTTTAGCCCACATAAGCCGATTTTTCTTTTGTAGTGGAGTTAATAGTGGCTTTTCCTTGGCCTATAAACAGGTTGTGCAGCTTTAGGGTTTTTACTTCACTTTTTTTATTAGAAAACTTACCTTGCAAGTGCTAAATCCTGGGCCTCGGTTGGCCGGGTGGGTCAGAGTGTCGTGCTACTGATCAGCCGGCCGGCCGGGCCGCGAGTTCGAATCTCGGCTTCGGAAACCACATTTCGAAACCATGGATGTTGTGACGTCGTGTGTTTGTCCAAAATTAGAGATATACGTATATATAAGATTGGATCTGGCTAATGGGACGCAATGTCCTAGTGCAAAAAAAATATGTGCTAAATCCCAGTTTGTGGGCCTGTCTATGAGTTGTGGACCTCGAAATTCTCCTTCCAAGAGCGTCACTCCACAGAGCTCTTAATTGTAAATAATTGACACGCCTGTTTTTTACGATTATTCTTCTTAATGCTCTTCGGTCGGCATTTGTGATATTACTTTTTTTCACATATCGTGGCTTAATATTAACTGAGCCAGTTACGTTATATCTTCTGACAATATTTCTCACACTGTACCGCGATAAGTCTAACAAAGTTGCAATTTCTGAGTTTGATTTCCCAGAATTAAAAAAATTAATTATCAGTAACCGAAGTTTCTCACTAATAACCTTTCCTATACCCATTTTGAAAACCTTAACTACCCAAAACTATTTTAAACGTATTCTGACAGCTGTGATTAATAAAAACAATTGTCATGGCTTTTATTTTTCACAGCCACCTATGCGTTATAGACTTATTTTGCATTGAGATGAAAATAGGCTGATATGCTGTAATTGCAATATGTGTTATTTTTATGCTGCAAATTTGATTAGGGAGTGATAAAGTTGGTGTTTTCTACTATATATTATCAAAATATTCATTGTTAATATTTTAAACCTATAACACCATGCTACATTTTTATTATTTGTCTTTGATAAGAAAAAAACTAAGATGTCAATAGTTGGGCCAACTGAAGTGGGAAGGGGCTCGTAGTAGCTTCAACAACTTTCGCCTTATTCAGACTAGCCCTATTGAATTGATTCAAATTTTGTAGAGAAAATACTTGACTGAAACAGGTGTTTGGGAAGCTTGATCTTCTGGGAAAAAAAGGACAATAATTTGAATAAATTCCATATTTAAATGTTTTTGATTACTCACCTACTATGGACTGTCCTTCGACTAAGAGAAGTGACGTCGTGAGCACTTCAGCCGAGGGCTTTTTGCTACATTTAATTTTTATATAGCGCCTCGCTACGAAACTATCTGAACTCTTGCTACTGAAACAAACGATTATTACCATAATACGTAAATTGGTTTTAGTCTGTATTAGAAATATTCTGCATGTTCAATTATCAATTATTAATTCATTCGGAAGTCGGAGAAGCTCAGAATAACCATGCTGTGGTGGGAGTGAATAAAAGTTTGGTCCGGAGTTCCATGTATCTAGAAATGATACAATTCTATTTCCCATGCCATTTATAGGAAGTATTGTAATCGCGAATGACTTCGAACATAAAGACATGTTTTTTTTTATCTCCGCTAAGCATTTACCTCTCTGCAACTTACAAGGTACCTCTCGCATTTTGATAAAATATAGAAAGAAGGTTATTACTACACCAAGGCCGAAAAAAGTTTCCTCAGTTTAAAAAGAAATAAAACAGCTTGTGTCAATCAAGCCGCCTTCCTAATTTCTATTCATTTGTTCTGTCAAATTGTACCTGTAAATATCTTGTACGGGATATGGTCAGGTGCAAGCAGTGTGCGATATTTGTTATGATAATGATTTGTTTTTCCAATGTTGTCCGGTGATTCTTATATTTAAGTTCTATAAATGAAAACTTTTGATTTATACAGTTATCTTGAATTCGTTAGGGCAATGTTTTGTCTCATCTACGTTCCTAATGTATTTGTGTGTAGTTTGACCAAACAAACCATTTAATTAACAACGAAAGACTAACGATTTTTGATAAGGTATAAAGTTGCACTGCTTGCAACATTTTTTCAAAACTCGTTCTTCTTCACTGTAAGTATTGGCATAAGTCTTTTGCTGTGGATTTTGATGGAAACAAATAATCGTACTTTTATCAATCAATTCATATAAGTAGTTTAAGAGCTAATTAATACAGGGTTTGTCTGGAAAGTAGTAGGACTCATTTTCTTCCGCAATGACTGTACTTCGGAGTGTGCGCGCACCGACTGATTCGGTAGAGGGCATTCCTAGCTAACGAATGAGCGGCTGGTCAGTTGTCTCCGAGCACTTGGAGAGTCAGGACAGGCATTTTCGCGCGAGGTGTTTCTGTGAGTGGTGCAAGCCGAAAATGCAGCGTTCGTTAGAGCAGAGGTACGCGATTAAATTCTGTGTGAAACTCGTTAAATCTGCGACAGAGACGTTTGATTTGATCAAGCAGGCTTACCCAGGTGTTGCTTTAGCAAGAAGTGGTGTGTTTCGGTGGCACCAGGCCTTTTTGGAGGGCCGGGAAGACATAATGTGACTCGTGTGCGCAAAGTTTTGAACTCAGACCGTCGACTAAGTATTCGTTTAATTGCCCAGATGTTAAATTTACCAAAATCTGTGGTTTATGACATTGTGACACAGCATTTGAACATGCGCAAGGTGTGCGCGAAGATGGTCCTAAAAGTGCTCACTGACGACCAGAAATTGCGGCGAGTGGAAGTGTGCCAAGAAAATTTGAACATGTGTGAAAGTGACCTCCAATTTTTGAATAACGTAATCACAGGTGACGAGTCGTGGACCTTTGAGTATGATCCCGAGACAAAGAGGCAATCTTCCGAGTGGCACACGACGGCGTCTCCTCGTCCAAAAAAGGGAAGAATGAGCAAATCCAAAGTGAAAACAATGCTCATTGTCTTTTTTGACATCAAAGGCATCGTCCACCATGAATTTGTTCCTCCTGGACAAACCGTCAACGCCAAGTTTTACGTGGAAGTGCTCAGGAGACTCAAACGAAGCGTCAGTCGGGTCCGACAAGACATCGCAGCCGACTGGAAGTTGCACCACGACAACGCCTCGGCTCACACCGCCTTCCTTGTGAGCAGCTACCTGACCAAGGCCGGCATCCCAACGCTTCCGCAGCCTCCCACAGCCCAGATGTGGCCCCCCGGACTTTTTTTTGTTTCCTCGCCTGAAGTCCTATTACTTTACGGACAAACACTGTAAAAGAGGTCCAACTCGTGATGATTAAATTGACGCATCAGCTTTAACTTAAAAATAACATTTAAGTATTTCGAGGTAGCGGTTAGGCACCATCTTGTAACATTTCTTGAAGCGAATGGGGCCATATCACACCTTATTTTGAAGCTCTTTATGAGTACCTTTATAATCCTAGAGCTTTGAAAAGACTGACTGATTTGGACATTTTATTATATGGGATGTTTCGTATTTTGGATACACTATTCCAAGTTTCTATGATCGCTCACTTTCTCAGTCTGCTAAATCGTCATTCTGAATAATAGTGATTTTATATTCTAGGGCTGTAAAGCACTCATGAGGGGCTTCAAAATAAGGTATCACACGACTTTCCATTCTATTTACAAAACAACCAAAATGCCGCGCAGCCACCATATTGAAATTTTTAAACTGTGATTTTTGCGTTAAACGTATTGTTGTTCAGGCATCAATCTCATTATTCTAAGTAGCTTGCTAATTTAACTCGTCCAAGCAAAATAGGTAGGGGGAGGGTTGTGAAAAGCATTACGTGTTGAAATTTCCGCTAAGTTCAAATCATGCTACAGACTAACAGACTGTTTGGTCTGAACTTCCGGGTCGCTAGACTAGCCACTACATATCTTCACGGCCCAGGTGGCCTCCCTTGTAAAACATGTTCTTTAAATACACTGAACATGACTTGCTTGACGCCTTTCTTTGTTTGTCATAAATACAAGTTTGGTCATTCGAATAACGGGTCCGGTACTTACATTTAAATGTATGTCATTCATTACTTTATGGTATATCTCAAACTTGGTAGACCAATATTATGAAAATCGACCATTCGATGTGATTTTTAATAAATATACTTTAGAGCTAGAACCATCGAATGGAATGCTTTTGTCAAAAATGGTGGATGTTCAAAGCTAACACTACATTTGAAAATTGTGGAGGTGCTACCTTGAAACAAAGAGTGCTTGCTACCTTAAAGACAAACCTAGTACCATTTCAGTAAAATAAATGCAAGGTTCTGTCTATTAAATATCGCACACGGAACCCACAATAAGCTGTGATACACAGCTGCGGACTGCCCAACTTGGAGGCCATGGATTTCGGAAACTACTAGCGGAAAAACGTTGGGCTTATGGACACTGTTGTTCCACGTGTTGAAATTCACAACTTTAAAAAAATATATCCGTAACCAGTTCTCAATAAAGTTTCCGCGGCGTCTTTTAAGAAGAATTTCAAGTTGTTCTGTCGTTATATCAACTGTCTAATCTTCCTAACACGCCGGTTGGTAGTTCGTACGGAGAAAAAGCGAAATGCCTACCTGTTACTCGACCTGACAGTGCCGGCATTTGCATGCGGCTCCCCGCTCTTCAGATCTCGACGTTTCCGTATCCGCTTTCGAGCCGTTTGGAATATCTTCCAGTAGAGGATGAAGATGATCAGCAGGGGCAGGTAGAAGGTGGAAAATGTTGCAAATACCTGTTGTTAGTGAACATCGATAGTGTTATTAATCATCTTTATTGCAATAAGCTACAATATGTGGGATTGACATAGCTTTAAGCAATAACCTTAATCATCATTATGTATTGGTAAATTACTTTGCGAAATTGCGGAGTCCTCGTTATTCATGATACTTTTCAGATTTTGCCATTATTTTATTTTGTTTTTTGTTCTTTGAGTGATCATATGGAAGATTAAAGAGCAAAAAGGCAATACTACTACAATGTGGTTTCAGTTTAAACTCCTATTGTACCTGCTCCTTCAACTACCATATTTTTTAAAATTAAAAAAACTTGTAGTAGTAACACCTTGTATGTAAATAATAAGTTACACAAATACCATCAAATACTAGCGAACTGGAGAAGACGTTATTCTCTAGAAAATCACCTGAATCAGGCAACTGATATCAGGAAGGTTCTGGAAATACATACCATATAAGCTCAGACTTATGCACATCACATATGCACAATGTCAAAACTTGAAACATGTGTTGTGCTCGACGTCCTAATATTTGATATATACAAAAACCCCGAAAGGGTTCAAGAAGGATAAAAACCACTCTCCCCACATAAACTCTAACAAATTTTTTCGCAACTCTACCTACCGCTCTGAATTTTGTTTTGTTCAAAATTTTACTATTATATATATATATTTACTATTTTTTTGTCTCCTAAAGAAACTGTTCATCTCGCATGGTTTTCGAGAAAAACATGTTTTTCTTATTGCATCAAGTATTAAATTGCGTTAAAATCTAGTAGGCATCTTATTGGCGGAAATGTGTGCAAGTTTATTTTTGACAACAAGCTTCATAAAGTAAATCAATAAGTTGAGTTTATTTTGGATTGTTGATTTGTTTGTTCTTCATAAATTTCAAATTAGTTATTTTTGCTTAAGTTGTTGTTGCTTGTTTTTCTCGTAACTATGGGATATTCTTTTGACGAGCAGACTGATTGTTTGTTAGTAGTAGCTGTAACATTCGATATCCAATTCGCCGAGTTACAAGTCGTCAGATTTTTGCAAGCATAGAACGCCGACTTCGAGAAATTGATCGATTGTAACCTCTTGAAGCGAACATTGCTAGAGGAAAAAGCTGCTCTTGAAGAGGTCGAAGAAGATTCAGGTATCAGCACTCGCAGATTAGGACATGAATATCGTGTTAAAAAAAGCATTGTTAACTGGATTTTAAATGAACAAACAACTCATTCGTTCTTTTCACGTTTAGCCTGTACCGGAATTATTGCTTACTGACCATCACTCGTGTTTGAGATTTGTAGAAAATGTATCAGAACGCAGAACAGCTGATAGGTCATTTCGCAAAAGAAAAAATGTTTTGTTTTACCCAACGTGGTATGACAAATTTGCATTATGCGCACGTTTACGCTGAAGAAAATCCGAATGCAGTTTCAGAAAGACATTTTTAGTGGGAGCATAAAACCAATGTTTGTATAGGGACTATCGGTAACATATCAGTTGGACGACGCAGGTTGCCTGCTAAATCAAGCGGCGGTGTTGGTGCTCCACCTCACTTTGCGAATGCTGAAAGAAATCACAGATGACAAATGGATTGGAGGAGGTTAAGAAGCTCCTATTCAGTGGTCACCTCGATCCCAGGATCTTAATCCTTGCGATTTTTTTATATGGGGAGCATTAAAAACAAAGGAGAACGAGGTTCAGATAGACAACGCTAATCAACTAAGGGACAGAATTCAAAATTCTGTACATAAAGGAATATTGACATCTTAGTGTAAATCTAATTTCTTGCGTCATATTTTTGTGCAGGAATGAATATGGTGGCCATACTGAACACCGTTCCTGAAAGCTTCTCTCTCTTCCCTAACCCTTTCGAGGCTTTTAATTTTTTGTTCCAAATTTCATTCAAATCGGACTATCGGTTCTTAAAATATCTTAAATAATGTGTTTTAAAAAGAAAACAGACGTCCTCTAACGAACAAACGGAGGACTCTTCCATGAATGAATATCACATCCAATCGACTTATTTTGAGTCTAAAAATACGTGGTACTTCTATGTCCAGGGAATATTGGCATACCCTGTACTTGTATGACGGCACAGCAACGTGTTTACTCGTCAGTCGCTATGAGCTGCGTGGCTCGAATTCCGTTCCAAGAGAATTTTTTCTTGGCTATGGATGTTGTCATTGTCCGCCGCTCGTAGACGGCATCGGACTGTCGAACGTGGAGGTACCACATAGCGAAGCTCTAAGGCGGGGCCAGATTGTTTGCATATCACATGCACACGTGTCCCCCCTGGAACGCCCTACGAGTATAGCCCCACGGTACCCGCGGGTGTTCAGGCATTCGTGGTGGTTCAAGTATTAGAAGAAATACAGTTCTTTCGCCGCGCTGTTACGTGTAAATATCCATTTTAAAGTACATCAATACTCACTTGGTATTTGACATCTTGACTGACAAGACATTGCTTTTTCACTTCTATCCTGTAGATATAGTCAGGATCCTTGAACTGTGGTATTTGTGGGGACAATGATACTATAAGAGCTATTACCCACACTACCGCTATCATTATAATTATTCTTCTTCTATTCCTTGTGTGCATATAGTCCACATTTGTCACTGCCCAAAATCTATAAAAAGAATAAAATGCATAAATGATAAAGTACGAATTCTCGGGTACAATAGACTCCTATATAAGCTCAGAATTTATTTTTGCATCTGCACAGAAAAATATTCTGATTCATTTTTTTGCATAAAGGACCCATATTAACTAATCTGTATGTTGCCTGTCAGGTCCAAGATTGCATACAAAATTGCTTAAACAATTTTTTAAACATTTTACCAAAATTGTTTCTTTATTCCGAATGAAGTATTTTTAGGTTTCTTTTTTTTTGGTCATTCTGAACAAAAATATGTTCTTATGAACTGTCCTCTAGTTGATAGTTTTCGCGATAGACCTAAGCGATTTAATATGTATCTGCCATTTTCGACTCTGAAAAACAATACGAAAAAACGAAAGTTCTGTTAACAAAATTGCAATGTTTTTTAGGGTTATTGTTATATTAGCTTCAATATTAGTTTTTGAATCGTTAATCGCTCAATGTATATTCGGCATCAGCAAGATATTTTTTTTATACTGGAGTAGTCGTGTAGACAGAAACCGAAATACCGGGGCACAGCGTTTGCTATCAGGAATTTGAAAGCGCCTTGTTAATCCGATTTTTGAACTACCTATGGTTAGTGGTTCTGGGGAAAACCTGCTCAGGAAGACTGTCGCACAATATCGACATATTAGGACCGAAGGAGCGGTCGTATTGGCCAGTTGTCGATGTGCGAAGTTCGACAGAGTCGGGATGAGAGACAGAAGGCTAGCGGGTCCGTCTGGCATGCTCAACGCGTGGCGACATCATGGAGGAGAGGTCTGAGGAGCAATGCCTGTTGACATAGCTCTAGAAGAGAGCCTGTCGGTGCGAAATATTGTAATGCTTTTGTTAATTCATTTACCTGTCTAACGCAATGGCTACTAAATGTAATATAGAAGCTGAGGAACAAAGAACATCAATCGATGTCCACATATCACATACTTCTGGACCCATCATCCAGTTGTTGCTTATCTGTAACAAAAAAATACAAATTTTTCAGAAGTTTAGGTTATATGAATTATTTTCAATATCCCGTTTTCTAACGTAACTAGCCAATATCTCAAACTTGGATTTTTAAGTACGGGTTACAGAATAAGTAAAAAATATATTTTTACGTATTCTAACGGACAATTTCATTAATACTAATAATTAATAATAATGCAAGGTAAGACATTATTTTCACGCAGAATTTATTTTTTCTACAGCTCTTCCTCTTAAAATAATGTTTAGTGTTTAAAATTACTAACCTAAGCACAACGTATGATTTAATTATTAAATCAGAAGGTCTGCAAAAGGAACATAAATGTAGAAGGGTTAGAAAAAGGTTGAAAAAAAAAACAAAAAAGTCGATGGCATACACTAATTGATGAATAAGTTAATATTGTTCTTACCACATAAACTGCACCTAGTGGCATAACTAGACAAGCAACCATCAAATCAGCAACAGCCAAGGAAACAATGAGGTAGTTGGCAACATTTTGCAAATTCCTGTCGATAAATATTGCAGTTATAACAAATACGTTACCTGAAACAAAAGAAATACACAACATAAGAAGTGCAATGTCACTGCCCTATATTTTAAGGAGGTTGAGAGATAAACCAACATTCTTTTGGGTTTTGGGTACCTCGAAGGCTCCTTACACTTTCTCTTCTAAAGGTGGTACAAAAAAAAATTGTTCACCATCGTTTGCTTTATGTGGGTTGAATCCAGCGTTCTGCTGATCCAAAATAATAATAATGTTTATTTGCTCAAAGTAAAGATAAAATAAGTAGCAAATAAACGGTAAAGCTTACAAATGTGAAACCTTGTTCGTGGGCTAACAATAAAATAACAATAGGACAATATTTTAAAATTAGCTTACAAATGTAGGTATGCATTATCTTCAGAAGTTCTTTAATTATATATTATCTTCAAATTATTCTAATAACATATTGATTTTGATCTGGGTCCATTAGGTAGCCACTCCTTGAAAGTTGGTTGATTGATCCTGAAAGTTTCTTTAATTTCTTTCGGAATTTTTCTATAAAACACAGGACCGAGAGAGGAATAAGTTCTTTGTGTTTTGAGTTTCTGAATTATTGATTCTGTCTGGTATAATGGTAGTGTGAGACATTTGCGCTGGAACTTTTATACCTAAATTGCCTGGTGATAACCGTAATCAAAAACTGTCTGACATCAAACGAACCAGCTTCTTCAAATAATGCTTGGGTAGGGCATCTGTATTTTTTATCGAATATTATTTTGTTAGCAACCATTTTTGGGCAGCATTAAGTTTGTGCAAGCAATTTTTTGTTGCACCAAGGCATGTATTCCATATTGTAGTTGACTTTGAACAAATGCGGGATGTGATATTTTTCATGATTGGTATTTTTTCACAGACATACTTTTTTCTTGTCACAGTTGCTCTACACATTCTGTCTGATAGCCCCTGGATAGTCATCAGCCTTTTATCTATTGGAGTGGCTTCAAGGCGACTTCGTACCTCGTTTAAAGTAGATTTATTGCCAAAAGATCTGAATTGGTTATGAAATCCATTTTTGCCTGGGTGATGCAGAACGTGTCGTTTTTGGTATGAAATGATTGCAGACCACTCAAATTGTCAGTGTCAAAAACACGGAAAATACTCAATTAACAATTTATAATATAATATAAAAAGCCTAAATGCCGGAGCACCGCGGCTGCTATGAGGATCCCAAAGAAATTTTCTTAATCCTATTTTTGAACTGCCTAAGAGGTTAGGAGAACTGGGAAAAGCTTCCTCTTGAAGATCGTTCCACAATCAGCACAGCCCGTTGGTTTAGCGGTAGAAGAGAGCTAGATCGAAAGGGTCCCGGACTGTCTGTTACAGAAGAGTCATCGATCAGTCGGACATCCCTGCTCTGGACAGCATCGAACATAAATAATGTAGTCGGGGTGGCAGCACTCCAAACGTGTGAGCAATACTCGAGGCTCTGGGCCTTGTATAGAGTGAGAAGGTCATGCGGAGAAAATTCTCCATGCGCTGGGTCATACTGCCTGTCGCAAATCAAGCCGTGACGTTCGAGGTAGGCCAGAAGGTCGCGATTTATGCACCTCTCCGTCACCTTACTTATAACAGAAATCAAAGCTATAAGCCTGTAGTTGTAAGGTCGGTCTTAGATCGATAAAGGCAGCAATTAAATTTGGAGCATGTTTTGGAATTGAGGCAAAGCCACAGTATGTCCTTCCGGTGTGCTTCCAAAGAAACATCTCTGGTACAGGAAAGACTGCTGCGGACAAAAGCCACAGCTCCACCGTTCTTTCTCAGATTGGAAAGCACATCGTAATTTGGGTAGCGAAGATGGTTAATAGGTGCAGACTCTGGGATTTTTGACTCCGCCAAGAAAAGCAAGGCGGGACGATTGGATTGCAAGTAGTGATGAACAGCATCAATGTTGCTGTTAATCCCGCAGATGTTCGTGAAACAAATTTTATCTTCGATGATGTTCCCTCGAGTCCACCCTCCACTCTGACATTTCAAGAGTAGAGGGCGTTTGCGTGCGGAATTCTTAGTAGTCGAGGCATCCATCATCAATATTTTCTTTGTTCTGGAAGATGATCGACTGCGTAGCTCAGGTGTGGAAACATGCGGACATGTATAAGACAACCTGGGACATGCTAGCGGGTGGTACCGCCTCGGTCGAATGGTACTTGTCTACCTCCTTCTTTTTGCGTATTAATGATATTAAATAGACCTAAAGTGGCCCGTTGGCGGACTTGTACCGCCACCCGTAATTCGGTACAGAGGTATTCCTTAACGCGAGAACAATCACTTGAACGGGAATCAGTTGTATACTGGATACAACAACTTTCGGAACAAGCATTTGCACGGACCAGCTCAGTAGGGATAAAACTATTTTTATAAAAGAACAATGTCGCTATAAACCTTCTAACAACGTTTATACAACGCTTATAAACACAAATAGGGCACATTTCTCTGCAGCAATTCTTCAATTTGTTTTATTGTGACTGCTCAACTTTTACCTGATGATTATTCAAACGTTTTTAAAATTATTATAAGACAAAGTATGCAACAATGACAAAACATTTTTATTTAAACTAGAATGACCCAATTTTATAAAAGTTGTTTTATTATCTTAGATGAAGCTTTTTTGTTTTGTCTAACACTAAAGGTTTGATTTTGTTTTTAAATTGCACTCACTGAGAATAATTTGTTTTTCAATGATGCTTGATACAACAGAAAGGCAAGCATTAGATCTTTTTTAGCAAATAGAATGTGATTAAGTAACTACATCAGTCATGTTGCATTTATTTCTGATATACGAGTATACAACCAATTCCAGTCAAGTAGAAATTCGATTTGTAATCTGACGGTGACCGTCTTTGAAGAAGTAAAGGCCAATCATCCAAGTTTGCGATACAACGCACCAATCCGTTACTTTTGGGTTGTGCATTGGTCTTTCGTGTAACTGTTGCGGATTTTCATTAGCCCAATAACGACAATTCTGCTGGTTAACCATGCTGTTTAGGTGAAAGTGGGCTTCGACACTCATAAACAAAATGAGGTTCTCATTTTGATCGATCAGTGCTTCCATCTCACGTGCGAAGTTCATTCGTTGTGCATAATCTCCTGGCTGTAACTGTTGCACAATGGCCAATTTGTAGGGGTGAAAGCGGAGATCCATATGAAAAATTCGCCTTACCGAACGACCACTAAGGCGAAGTGCAGCAGCATGTTTCCGGGCAGATCGAGTTGGACTGCTAAGAAAGACCTGTCGAACGCGTTCAACATTTTCAGGAGTTCGAACTGTTCGCGGCGTTCCTCTTGGTATTCTGTTGATCAGTTCACCACGCCTGCGAAGTGATTCAACCCAACGAAGGATGGTGTTTCGAGAGGGAACAGCTCTATTCCGATGAATCTTGAAGTGGCGACGAAACTCACGCTGTACGACGATGACTGATTCATTATTTCGGACGAAACAATCATAGGCGAAAACGCGGTGCTCCACCGTCCAAGGCTCCATAACGACACCTTTTAAAATAATGCTAGGATCTCACGAGTCAAACGGCACCCTCCCCACCTCTCTCGTATACGGAGGCGGATAGTACTACCCATCCCAAAAACGTCCGTCCTCTCTGCCGCACCCTGTACTTCTTAAAAGTTTAATTGTCTCACTTTCAATTACAATAAAACAAAATGGCATTCCAAGGGCAGTAATAAAGTAGGGACAGTCGAACATTATAAAATATATTTGCTAGTTGGGAAGTAATCTTACTCTATAACCCCATTATCAAATAGAGCAATAAATCTGATTGTTAGTTGTCAGGAGAGACCGTCGGTTATATATCGTCGTGAGGTTGTTGTCGAGGGGACATCATTAATTTGCAACCCAAAATCCGGAAGACCGGCGACATCGTCGTTTATCCATAGGGTACATCCGCGAAATAAGCAGAATCATCGTCATATCACGTTGGCCCTGAAATGGAAGAGGTCCTAGATGATTGATATATCATTGTGACGAGAAGGTTATCAAATGGTCGGTGAGAGGATATTCTCAAGGATACCGCCTTTATACAGAATGGTTGACGATGTGGGTACGTTTGAAAGAAGGTGAGATGATTCGTAGTCCAGGGTCCAATGTACCAAAATATATCCATCATGATAGTAAGGAATACTTTGACCTAAAAAGTGATTCTCAACTTAACAGTTTCAACTTTTTTCTTTAAAGCTGAAGGGCTTGATCTAAAAATTATTAAGTCTAAAGTTGTTTTATTTTTCATTAGATAATTCACCTATTTTTTTCACAAACGAAGAACAAAACTGTTTGTCACCCATTCTCATCTCTGGTGTGGGGTTAAATCTATTCATATTACTCTCAAATTCGCTTTCTACTATTTTTAGGATTTGTATCGAAAATGCTTATCACATTCCACGGGTTAACTACGTCAAAAGAAGTCGTAATCCTTAACATGGATCTTTTAGTTTTTAATTTTTTTTCATCGAGTTGGAATTCAGCGACCTAAAAAACATCTAAAAAGGCTGGTCTGATCTCAGGCTTATGAAATTTTTTGCGAGTCTGTGTTGTTAACAAAAGAATTCCATCGAATTGAATCCGTTAATTCACAAACTATTCAAGTGCATTTTCCGAATATGCTTCTTTGCTTTTTTGCTGGAAATGTTTTATCAATGGTCTGGGTACACGCCTCGATAGTTAATACATTCTTTCCCTTTCAAATAATACTGCGTAATCGCCGTACATTGTATAAACAATTTATGTATTTAATATTATTTGGTGGTTTTTATGCGCACTACTTGAAAGCGGACACTTCAAGGGTTATTTTCAAAAACAGTACCAGGACCCTTTATGTTTATTTTATTTCATTTTTATATAAATGTGTACCAGTATATTGCATTTAAATTTACTACCTACAACAAAAGGTTATGGGCGAGTTTTCTTGTATTCTACCAAAAAAGTTAACGCAATCCTTTAAATATATACGCTGAACACTTCGAAAAGCTGTCCGCATAGATAGCACAGAAATGG